TATATGGAATCGTTTCATTCATGTCCAAACAACATATTATGACCTAAATTTTCTTTTTTGGATTCCATACACTAAAGCCGATCATTACTATTAGATTATAATTATTATTACTATTAGAATTTTAAAGCTGCTTTTCTGTAATGCATGTGCAAAAGATTTATTGCCAATTATAATTTCTATCTGAAGATAGAAAGCAGAAAATTGAAGTAAACTGTAGACTGCTTGTAAGAAACACTAATACTATATCTACAATACAATAGTAAAATTATCGAAATTAATCACATCCAATTTACTACATAAGCCGTTGAGTGAACTGCAATGGAATCAATTTCGTACCACACAAATCCCGATGAAGAGAATTAAGTTCTTTACAAATTACTATTACTGTTTGTACGAGTATTGTGAGTAAAACGCCTAGGCAATATTTTACCAGTATTTAGTTTAGACCATCATTTTACCACGCTCTCACTTTGTTTACCTTATAAGCCAGGAATAACTGTAGTTTCCTAATAACCATTTAATTCACTTTAATCGCGCAAAAATAAAGAATAGAAAGAGGTAAAAGCCCGACTGACTGGGACTTAACTCCAACTACGATTCCGACTTCAATTTAACATTGCCAATTTGGTTTAAAATTTAAAAATGACAAATTTCCACAACAAATTTTTGTATCCCAAATAAATTACCATAACTGCAACAAAGCGTATTATTAACCATATAAGACAAGCACATACATACGGGTCTAAATCTGAATCTGAATCTGAATCTGAGTCTATGCATGAACAATGAAAATGCTTCGCGAGACTACAAAGTCGGTATGCCTGATTCGAGCACCGCAAACAGTCAAGAGTCCATTGTAGTTACTTGACATATAACACAAAAACACTACAAGACGCCGGGGCAGGCAGCCAGCCAATTAAAGCGTTCAAAATCAGCAGCAAAAAATATTTGTTAAATAAATATTAAAAATAGAAAACTACGAATAGTTAAAAATATTAAATAAATTGTAGAATGTTGCATTAAAAATACTCTTAGACATATAGACATATAGTATATGGTATGTAATACTCGTAGCAGTTTGTTGCAATGTTGCAAAATGAACTGCACGTACTGCACGGGCATGTTTCGTTGGGTTCGAGTTTGAGTTTTATAATAGAGAGGAAATGTGTGGGCGTAGGAATAAGTAGACTTCAGAGTTACGATACACCAAAACAGATAAAATGATGCAGTCAGTCACTCAACTGCACTGCAATTTGCAAATAAACAGAACAAACATATAAAACACAACAACCGACGCGATATACTATTCCTAACAAAAACAATATAAACAAATTAAATGCAATAGCATAAAAGATTATAACTATTTTTATGGCACTACAACACACTACAAAAGCTCACTAAAGACAGCGTTAATCTGCTTTTAAGTAGATAATGCTTTTAATTCTTTATGGATCTTTTTTTGCTTTTTTTTCATCCATTCGACAGCAAACGGAACGCAGCATTGCATTAAAAAATCTTATGAATGAATGTGAAGGCGTACATCACATCGCGTATCTTGTAAAGCGCTTTCGAGCACAGCACAATGTGATTAAAACAATTATTTATAGAAATAAATATTATCATTTTTGTTTATTGTAGAACCTACGTATGTATGTGTATATATACATTGAGAGAGTTTGATTTATTTAGGCAAATGAGAAATATTTATTCTCTACTTTAGACGATGAAATGTTTATACAAAGATTTTCTGCAAAACTGTCTTTCCTTTTATTAGTGCTGTTAGATGGTAATTTGGCCGATTTTTTTTTTTGCTTCGTCCTGTTTAATGCTGTGCATTGACACATTGGTTGTTGTGTATTTTAACAGACAGTGTAAATAAAGTCACAGGGCTTACTTTGTAGTTGACATAAAATAAATTTAAATTTACTTTATATTAGGAATTGCTTTAATAAATCCATTTTCAGGAATAGAACTTCAAACACTTTTTACATTCCAAAACATATTACCATAGCGCGTACTATAGACATAGTTATTGATATGGTTTAATGGGTCTTAGTATGGTGAATGATCCGTTGATATAACTTAAATACTTTCACTGTCTCTGAAGTGTGTTGCATGGTTCATATACTAAGCGAACAGTCAAAGTCAAATGGATGTGTTTATGGTAAAGATCCGAACATTGCTGCACATTTGCAGAAAATTAAGCAATTTATTGAAATTATTACTTACTAACTAAGCGTTATGTGGTACGAAATTTTATATTTTTTTAAACCATATCTGACCTATGACCACTCTTTTAATAATCTATCTCATTAATATAAAAACTGAAGACATGAAATCTTCTTATAAATAGAGCACTATAGTATATACATAGTATAAAGTCAGACATTTGAGATACTTTTTTGTCATTAACTATGAAGCCTTGACCTGTGTAGTTTTGATCATTTTTCCCCTTTTCAGTTAGAAATTCTCAAAGGAGTTGATCTATGTTAACACAAATTGAGAGGATTATTGAGGATTATTATCCATATAATGAAGGCAAAAAATTCAGTTAGTAAAAGTGTATTTACAAAAGCTACAGCTGCGATAAGTAAAGCCAATTGGAGCGGCTTTTATCTATGAAGTAAAATGACATAATTGCTTATTGTACCGATGCGAAGAGTGCATAATTTCAATTTAATTCTCTCTTATGTTTTTAGATAGATTTAAATACGTTTTTGCATACATCATTACGTCTATTCATCAATGAACGGAACGGAGATGAAAAAAAATTATCACAACATGATTTACGTAGGTGCAGAGACTGCAGTAAATGCATCAAATGCAACGAATGCAATTCATTGCAATCATTTTCTCGTAGCATTTTCAGGATTGGATTTCCTATGTTTATGTCATTATTGTTGATATTTTGTTGTTGTTGTTGTTGTTGTTGTTGTCGTGATTGTATTATTTGTTAAATTAGCTTTAAGATATATAGGAAATGTGGTGTAATCGCATTAATGTTTTATTCATGCTACCCACATTTTACGAGTTGATATTTGCTTGCTATGACGAAAATGCTGGACACATAAAAAATGATGTGCTGGGAAATTGGCATGAATTGCAAAAATTATGCGTGGCTTAAACGATTTTCAACAAAATAAGATGATAACGAAACGGGAAAGCGGGGTGCAGTCCATTAGTCCATTTTAAGTATAACGAATATAGTAGAAATTTATTTTTAAAGTAATTAAATTTATTGCAGTAAAATTAGTCTTATCTCATTTTTCAAATGGTGTTCAATAAATACTTATGGTATAATTTTTCATGTTAAAAATTTTACAGGGGCGTGAGAGTTGTTTTAAGACATAAAAGAGCAAAAATGTTGAGGGAGAATATGAAGTAATCTTCTATTTAAAAATATTATGATTATTTGATATTATATAGATTTTACAGACGTTTATGGTCATTGGCTTCGTCGAATAGCAGCGTGATGTCAACAGTTGGTAGTACAGTGTGCCTTTAAATCATGTCACTTAGTTTTTCCACTAAAAAAGCAGAGATCCTTTGATGTGTTTTTCAACAGTAGGAACCAAATTAAAAAACTTTTTAGCAGTTTGTCCACTCGCATGATGTGCAGCGAAACTGCAGACTTTTAATGCGCTTAACTATGTCAAAGTCGCGGTATAGGTCCTCGTTCTGTAGGTCCTGTATTATTATCTAAAGAATATTCGTATAGAACGTTTTTAATACTTTTCATCGCTGCTGGTCTAAAGTTCTGCACAATACAATAGACTCATAGTGTAGTGATAATAGACACATCGTGCAATTTTAGTTTGTCGTAAGAGGGCAGTATTTATGAATTGCCTAATTCGTCCTTAATAATATTTATTGGCAATAGCGAGTTATTTTACTTTATTTATAAGTTTCTGTCATTCTTGATTTTTACGTTGGTTTCCAGATAATCAAAGTCTTTCACAATTTTAAATTTGTAGTTGTTAACAGTGCCCTAAGAAGCATATTAGACTTTATTGTTTAATGAAAAACACACAGTTTATTTCATATAAATTTTACTCAAAAACAAAATTTTTGATCATTAAGAAGCAGCTTCTTCAATATTTTAATTTAAAATTAATTCCTAATAAAAATATATAATAAATTTACGGATGAAAACCTTCTGGAATTTAAGTTTTATATGTATCTATATTTATAGTACAAAATACAATCAAATGAATCTTATAGAGATCATCTCAATGACGCATTCGAATTCTATTTGAGTTGCATGTAATATGATATAAGATATCACAGGTAGAAGAGAAAAAAAAAATTGCCATAAAACAAAAACTTCTATCTTAACAATTATAAATTCTTTTTTCTTTAATTCCAACATTTATCCGAGGGCAGCAGTCAATTTAGTCTTGGTAACGATAATGCCGACAGCATCATTAGCCTTAATATGGTTTATCTTGGAAATGATTTTTAAATCACAAAAGACTCAAACTGAAATTATTAACTAATTCCAACATTTAGCAAAGAAATCACGCAAACATGCCGTTCCATTGATAAAAAATCTCGTAACACAGCATTATCTATACCAGTGAGAGTAGCAACATGTAGGTTTGGGACTTCCTACAGCGCAACTAAAGTCACAGAAATCCTACATGCACAGTAGAAAGCAGGTAGTGAAAGCAGGCAATCAATAAGAATTAAGAATTCAAAATTTTAAACAGAAATTTGCGATTAAAATCTGAATGAAACGAAAAAAATGAATAAGAAAAAATTGTTTTAAAAAGGCGGTACCAACCGCAATATAAACTGCGCAGCACAGTGGAAGATACGCTGCATAAAACTTTGGCTGTCTTGACTTTGATTTATGGATTTACAGTAGTCGTATTTAAAAATCAATGATTACAGCACGATATGTTCATTATAGAAACAATACATGTGCCAGCAAGAGGAAGCTAAGCGGTATAAGATAGGTGTATGCGTTCCAAGAGGATTTTTTTTAGGTTCTGACTTACCATACATTTTACCCTCATCGGATAAAATAATTTTCCGTCGTCCACATGGCGGATATATTGAAAGCGCCTCTTGAAAACTCTGTTCGATATCGGGACTCCAGACACCTTCGGCATCAGCAGATGAGAGATCTTTTTCGTCCTGCAATGAAAATATTTATATTCAATAAACTCGCTCCAACTTTTTTTTATTAAGATTTCATATATTACATACTACTCGTTTCTTTACTCTTCACTCTTCACCTCTTCTTGCTACTACGTTACTCGAATAACAAATGCTTTCTTCTTACGATTTACACATTTGATACTGTTTTTGATTAATTTCCCTTATTTCTGACACTAATGAAGTGTCACAAATAACAGTGGCTGTCATTAAAATTGATACACTTGAGTGATATTTCAAGTGGTTTTAATTTTGAATGACTTTTAATGAGCAGTGCGAGTGGTATTGAGTTTGGTTTGTGTGCTTCTGAAATGAGTGTGGGAGCGTATAGACTGCACATAGAGCGTACTTGTTCGCGTTGAAGAGAGATGTATATATGTTATTAAACTGATATGATTTCAAGTACTCTTCGTCGAGATGCTCTTACTGTTGTGTCAAAGTGTCAAATTACATTGATGGAGAAAATTTATGCTATTTCAAGGAGTTTTTACGTCATCAATTTGACTCCTGCATGGATTTTAATACATTTTATATTAAAAATAAAGACAAAAGGTTTGCTTGATATGCTTTGTGATATATACGTACAATATTAAAGAAATAATTTCAAATATATATTTAAATGTAATTTTGGATGTAGCTCTAGTTTAATTTCATCAGATATTTTGAAGAATTCGCATTGTGAATTGACATGAAAACAGTTACAGAGTCAAAATCTTATCTCAATAATTTTAAAAATAAAATCTATAACTCCACATTACTTAAAAAGTTAAATATTTTCATAAATTTATGAAAAGGCGATATATGGGTTAATATCTTATAGAATTTTTAAATCTTATAAATGTCTTTCCCTATCACATTGAAATGATTGTGATGGCTTTTATGCTCTTAATGTATATTATTATATGACAAAGCTCTTCTAAAAGTTTAATAATGAATTAATTGCCATAGTCAAAGGTGGCAAAAAAATTTTTTTAAAACATTCAAATTAGTTTTCTTTATGTATATCCATGTATTTTATAATAATCCTATCATATTATTATCTACGAAACTCTTGTCTGTAGGAATTTTTTTTATTAAAACCATCTAGTTATATTTTTATACTTACGTCACTCATATCTCCGACGTCTAAATTTTTACTATCTACCATGCTGCCATTTGTGTCTGCCGGTCCCAATGGCCCTCCCGGGGGACCGGCACCCACTGGTGTCCACGGCGACGGTATTGTGCCGGGTGCAACTATCCCGTCTGTAAAGACAAATAAATACAAAAACATTATTAAGGAAATATAATTCTCAGGAAATTATCTTATAAAATTATTTTTATTTGATTTTTTATATTAAAATCGGACATATTATAAAACTATAAGCAAATATAAAATATTGCATTAAATATGGCAAAATCTATAGGGTACGGGTAAACCCAGTCTCAGTGCTCTCTTCATAGCACTCAGTGACACATCAGACACATCAGCACCGATATCGTAGTGCTCAGCAGATTGCACCTTAGTTATAGTAGTTGACTGGTACGTTTCTTAACCCGTTTGGATCATCTTGATATTAAGATCTGATAGAGGTATTTATCTGCATTTATTTAGCTATCCTCAGATATTTTTGTTTTATTGTCACCTTTGTCATTTTAAGTGGAATACCAATATCCGACAAATGAATGTCAGAGAGCAGAATACTTGGCTTCGCAAGCTCGTCTGTTCTGCAGTTGCCCGACATTTTCCTTTGACCAGGTAGCTCTGTAAGTTGTACACTAACACGTCTAGTTAGCGCGTTAAGAGTTACATAGGCCCGGCATTAGTTACATAGGACCTAAATTAACTTTAGCAGTCTGTTATGTCTTATTATATATATATATAGCCGTTTGCACATACAGTAACCTGAGAAACGTTGATATAACAAACCCCAACCAAAACGCAACTGACCCAGATCATTCGTGTTATATAGTTATTGTTATAGGAAGTATTGGTTTGATAGGAATTGAGTGAAGAATAAAACAGTTTAATGAATCTTAAAGCTTACTTTGCTTATATATCTTTTATTCCGTTAGAGACAAACGGAATTTACAATAATAATAAAATACTTTTCATTAAAGTTAATATATTTAAGACAGATTTATAAAGTTTTTTATAGCAATTGTGTTTAAATCATGTTTACAAACCAAAACATAGCCGAATGTGAATTATATATATGTTTTGTTATATATACTTTTGTGTGAATTATTTTGCTTTATGCTTGTATAGCACAAAACACGCGCTAATAACAGAGAACCGCCGCCTGCAACTCATTTCGACTTTTTCGAAAATAATTCTATAAATTCAGTCATGTTAGGTGCTGCGTAATACGGCAGTACGCCCAGACCACAAAAGCCATGCCTGTCCGCAGGCCAGTGAAACCTCAATAAAATGGCGAAAAGATTTTGTCGTGAACTGTGTGCTGTAGACGCTTGCGAAATTGTCACAGTGCAGAGCTTGACAGTAGCGGAGTCGTGTAATCGAGTTGTGTAGTCGACACTGTGAACGCACCCAAATTGGCGACATAAAATTGCATACGATTTGGTCAGGCAGCGCTACCGGCAGACGAATAAGAACTAAAAAAAAATCATGGGATGAGCTAAGCCGCGGGTTTTTATTAAATTTATTTCAAATTGGGTGCAGCCAGCATACGCCATGCTCCACATATTCACAGAAACATCCATCAATGCAAATGCTCGAAAACCAAAGCTTGGCTAAAACTATGGATGAACGAGAAAAAATAGTGGAAATTAGTGCAATTTGATATTTTTGGCGCGCGCGAACGTATGACGCTCGACACTGCATGCAAAACCGCAAATGGTTGCATATTTTGCATACTGCACCACTACTCGACTCGGCGTATTAGTTCGAAATACTACTATCTACCATACTTCTAACTGCAATAGGAGTAGTTGGCAATGTTGTTGTTGGTGGTGTTGGTGTTGTTGTAGTGATAGTATTTTTAGTTGCACAAAAACATTGTTGTCGTTGCTGTTGTTGTTGTTGCTGTTGTTGTGTGTGACGTAATGGATTGACGGTTTACGTTACAGTTTATTATTGCTTCCATGCTTCATGTTGCATGCTCCACGCTGCACGCTTCATGCGCCATGCTCGATTATTGGTTGGTGCCATTGGAGTTGCCATTGCAACTGCTGCCGTTTGTTTTTGTTGCCTCCAAAATTAAGATAAAAATCAAGCTTGCAATTTTGTATGCAGTTTATTGCTTTTTGTGATTTTACCGCTTTTTTTTCAGATGTTTCAGGGCAAAGGTTTTTCCATTACCGCTTTTTTGGTACTCTATTTTTTGGTATTTAGCCATGTTCGTTCACTGTAATTGAAGTGTGACATTTCAGCAGCCGCAAATATTTAACGCTTTTAAGCTTTGATTTATTTGTCATAGGAGTTCTGCTCTGACGACGTGTCCAAATATTTTGTTACTTTTATTAGATACTTCAGACCGTTTTAGTAGCAATTTGTGTAAATTGAAAATTTTTTCGGAAAAAACACATTTTAAAATTGACTATAAATTTTTGTCATTCTTCGAAATACTACGTATGTATTTTTAAATATGCAATATACGGATCGGGTGTAGGTATATTGAAACTACTTCTAACATATTACAGATAAACTAATTTTAAAAATTCAAATGAAAATATTAAAAATGTGTTCACATTGGATTTAAATTACATTTTGTATTAATAAAAAAACAAAATTTTTAATTAAAATCACCACTGTTGGCTTTAATTTTATGAAATCGAAATTAATAAGAATAAGAATAAGATCTGGATATTTAGGCCGATCTATTATGTCTATATAGCTATCGAGATTCACGCTATTAAAAGTATTATATTCACGTATCTTTTTGCTTTCTGTCTAAAAAGTAGCTGGATTATTAAAATAATAAATATCATATATCAATTAAAGTCTAAATTTTTTTCTCCAAAGTGGGACACATCAACTACTCCAGCGGTTGTTCGAATCTAACTGGTCTAGATGTCCTTTTTACCATCTTTCTCATTTTTAAATCATACACAGGAAAAATTGAGAAATCTATATTTTAGTTGAAAAGGGTAATGATAGGGAAAGTTTTAAATTCAAAATTTAAACATATATGCAAATGTTTGGACTGACTATACAGCTACGGATACTACCAAATATATATAAAAAGTGGCTTTTGAAAACAGCTGTTGAATTTATTATTATACTTATAATAATTCTTAAATAAAGAACAATAATTCAAAAAAAAATTAAAATATATAAGTAATAGACATTTAGATTACGTATACTTTGAAGTTAACAACTAAGTTGATATTAGCTGTACGTTATTTTTAATTTAATTTTCGTAAAAGAGATCTTTTAAGTAAAACATACTTAGTTTTTTATAAATAATATTATATAGAACAAAAAAAATTTCAGATGCTACAACAATATTCTGCAAAATTAAATAGAGTTATATTTTTACCACTGACATATATGTATGCGGTTATTATTTTAGAATATATATAGATTATATGCAAGTTCCCATTCTGCAAATCTTAGAGTAGAGGTACTTCGTTTCCGAACAGAAAACGAATAACAGAAGTTATTGGGACCTTTAAAGCTAACGGAAACATCAAGTTCTTAAAACTGTATCTTGCAATTGAGCATAAAGAAATAAGCTATGACAGTAGTTGTCACCTGTCAAAGGTTATGATGACATACAACACTTGGATGCCGCCTACATTTTAGGCGGTACACATATTGTCTGATATATCAGTAAAAATACATTCTTTAAATATTTCTTAAATTTAACAACTAAAATTAATATATTTAGTTTCATAGGAAGCGTGCAGTTCAAGTTACTTGTTTTATTATACAATTATTTATAATACATACTTCTTTTTATAATATTTTTGAATTGCTTAATATATTAATACACTTGCATAATAATCATTTAAAGCATTTTTATTTTTTTTGGTTCACAGTGATTTAGCAATGCTTAGCACGTAACTGAATGTGTAAAATAAAATTTAGAAGCTTTAATGGTGCGGAGCAGGAACACTGAAAGTCATCCTCATCCTCTTTCTCATCCTTATTATAATTTCAATATTATATGAAACTTAGTTGCTCAAAGCTGTTGGCGCTGGCGCTGGTTCTGCTGTGCTACTGCTCAAAGGCACACACATCCTTGTATGCATGCATGAAACGTGCAAATTCCAAACTTTCCGCACATAATAAAGTACTTTGTGCCAGTGTGACAATGATGTATTGCAATTACAACAGCGCGCTCCATGACCAACAAACCAACCAACCAACCAACCAACCAACTATGTCCACCATTTCACCCGCTGTCGTTTAAAGCAAATAATGAATATATAACTACATAGTAGTCTCACATTGAAGGAGCGCAACGTATCCATGCAGTGGTTTTGATGGTATGTGACGGCAGCCAGGCACTGCATGAGCACAGATAAAAGTAACGTTTCACAGGAAACGACGATTAAATGGTCAAATGGTATTACGGAAAAATTGCCGTTTCAATGAAGTTCGGTGCCCATATGAGCAGATACTTAGATTGTACTTACTTTGTAATAGAGCAGTGTGCATGCCTATAACATATTTTATATAATTTTTAAGTGAAAATATGCCGCATAAATCAGTTAAAAATATGACAATGTCTTTCATTACTTATAGTATTTCTATAACATGACTCAATATTTTATTAGGATTGGGAATTAATATATACTAAAGTATATTCAGAACATACAATTAAATAATTCTTTTAAGTAGTTTTAAAAATAAACAACTTAATTAAAAGTTAATTGTAAAGATGCTTAATTTATTGCTTAAGAAATGTTAGAAGCAAAGAATAATACCTAAGGTATTATATGCAGATGGAATAGATCTAGAGTAAACTATAACTATACTGAAGTTTTTGAAAAGTGCTAAAATAAGTTCGATATAAAGATATCATGGGAGTGAGAGAGATAGAGAAAGCAAGAGAACGACAGAGACCTAGACAAATGGAGAAGAAAAGAAGAGAAATAGTGAGGGAAAGAGAGAGTGAGTGAGTAATATAAATAGAAAGAGAGTAAAAAATTAGTTAGAAAGATAGAGAACAAGAGAGAGAAGATGAGAAAGAGAAAGTGGAAGAAAGAAGATGCAGAATGCGAAACAGAGAAAGAAAGTTATCTTGTTTTTGTAGCTTGAATAATCCTTCCATACGTAGAAAAGTCTGCTTGTGTAA